AGTCCAACAACTTCAATTTTCTCCTTCAACAAACAACTTAGCCAGGAAACTAGGTCTCCATATTCGCTCAATCCAATCACATCCCCTGGTTATATGCTCTGGGGTCTCAATCAAACCACAGAACGAGCACTCATCATTTGCTTCCGGTAGTCGTTTTACTAGGTTGCTGACACGTTTGTACTGTCACACTAGAAAGTGGCCAAGTGTAACCACCAACTAATGCATAGTATAGCGGGTTTAGATTTAAATGTCAACCCGGGTACAGAATAGTGAATCGACTCCTTGACTAAATTCGTCAATTGATAGCCATCAATCAAGGGTGCTCTATCAACCTAGGCAAACATTCTCGTTCTAGGTCAAAGCAGGAATAACAAGAATTTTATCAGGATTCCTGCAATTCAGAAAACCATGCCTCAATTGAATATAATCAATATCAAAGAACTTGTTCTTGGGCTCATACAACCAAACCTAACATATAAATATAGGGTTCCAATATTCTTCCGAGCCCTTATAACATTCTTGGGCTCAATTGAATATAATCGTCCTTGGCATTAGCATGTCTCTGGTTCCAACATTCTTCCGAGCCCTTATAACTTTCCTTTCCATACTTCTCATGGCTAGGTGGGCGATATGTTATGCTTCGTTCCCTTATTTTCTCTCGTTTTGCTCTAAACTCCTCTTCTCTTCGTCTTAGCTCCTCGTTACACATCCTACCATTCCTTTCCGCAATCTGTACTCTAGCAATTGCGTCTTCTCTGTCAAACTTTGCCCTCAGTGCCATCCATATTTCATTTGTCCTTCTCTTTCTTGGCGGGAATGCCATGCTTCATTATGATTCAGGCCAACTCGTAATTCTGGTCCCTATCTGTCTTGTCCATCAGGAATTGGTTCAGGGCAGTATACTTTTGGGTGTCCTACTTTCCCACGTGAGAAACAAAACATGGGTAGCTTTTCATATTGGGTTAATTGCATGGTTGGTCAATGAGATTACAAAAATCATTCATGTTTGGTCACTCGAAATATTTAAATCCATTGGTGATACTTCAGTTTTCTGAAACTGTTCACGGTTGGTCACTCTCCGTCCAACTCCGTTAACTTTGGCTAATGTGGCAGTCAACTTTCAAAGTTGATCGTTAACTTAGTGACGTGGCAATTAAGAAATAATAAATAAAATTTAATCTATTTTAATGTCCAACTCATTTTAACCATAAATAAAAAAATAAAATAAAAAATATTATAATTATGTAGTCATCTTTGACTGGTCTAGGAATGGAGAAAGCAATTCAGATCCGCATGAAGAAATGGAGTGGAGTGATATTAAGAAGGAGCGAGCTAGGAATCTAGATGCTTCGAAACCTGATTCAGAGGCCTAGGACCAGCACTGTGGTTCAATTCCACTTCCGACCGCCGAAAACCACTCCTCTATGCTTTTCAGTCGGTGCTAGGGCTAGTGCAATCGCCGCGGACTGAGCTTGCCTTGTCACCAATCTGGTTGAAGGCCCTGAATGCGAGTTGACTGTGAATGGGACTTCTCTTCTCTCCATTAGCTGTTAGATAGATCGATTCCTCTACTCCTAACTTGACCGAACTTGGTCAGCCGTCATCTACCAGCATCCCTTTCATTAGAATCGATTCCTGTACTCCAAACTTGACCAAACTTGGGCAGCCGTCAACAAAACGACGAATGGGAGAAGGAAGAGGAAACAAAATCGACCTTTAAATCCTTTCAATTTGATAATATCTTTCCACCGACCTTTAAATCCTCAATTTGATAATTATAATATTTTATTATTTTATTAATTTATTTATGTAAAAATGAGTTGGACATTAAAATAAATTAAATTTTATTTTATTTATTATTTCTTAATTGTTACATCACTAAGTTAACAGTCAATTTTAAGAGTTGACTGTCACATCGGCCAAAGTTAACGGAGTTGGACTGAGAGTGACCAAACGTAAACGGTTCAGTAAACTGAAGTACCACCAATGGATTTCAATATTTTGAGTGACCAAACTTGAACGTTTTTTGTAATCTCAATGACCAACCATCACTACAAAAAAAAAAAAAAACAGCTGAAGTGACAATTTAAAATTCAGTCAAATTGTCATTAAAAGGTAGAAAAATGTCACAATATTGTTGTACTGACGTTTTACACAAATGACACATAAATGTCACATAATCCAGTGTCACTAACTTCTTTTGTGACATTTGTTACAGTTATCAGTACCACTTTTGTGTGACGTTTATTTTACATATTGAGACACTTATAATCGTAGCATAATAACATCTTTTGTGACATTTTAAAGAGTCGTAAGTGATGCAAATAGTGACATTTCTAGAGACATATTAAACTGTTATAGTTAATACCAATAGTGACATGTCTAGAGACATTGCAATATGTCATAGCCCATCTCAATAGTGACATTTATAAGGACATGTTAATTTGTCACGATTGATACAAATAGTGACATTTCTCGAGACCTTCATAATTGTCACAGTAGATCCCAATAGTGACCTTTCTAAGGACATATCAAAGTGTCATAATAAATACATATTGGGACATTTCTCAGGACATTCCAAAGTGTCATGGTTGACACCAATGGTAACATTTACCGCGACATTTCCATATGTTATAGCCCATCTCAATAGTGACATTTTTAAGGACCTGTTAATATGTCACGATTGATAAAAATAATGACATTTCTCGAGACATTCCTAATCGTCAAAGGTGATACAATTAGTGATACTTTTTGTGAGATTCCAATATGTCACAGTTGATCCCAATAGTGACATTTCTAATGGCATGTCAATGTGTCATAGTAAATACAAATAGTGACATTTCTCATGACATTTCAATGTGACATAGTAAATACAAAAAGTGACATTTCTCATAACATTCCAAAGTGTCATAGTTGATACCAATAGTGACATTTACTGTGACATGTCAAACGTGTCGTGGTTGAAACAAATAGTGACATTTTTTACAACATCATATGTGATATGAATAGTGACATTTAATGAGACATTCCATAATTCTGTAGGTGATACAAATAGTGATATTTGTATGGATATTCAAAAGTGTCATATATGATACAAATAATGATATTTGTTGAGACATTCCAAAATGTCATAGATAGTACAATTAGTAACACTATTGCGACATTTTAAAGTGTTACAACACCAAATTAGATTACCATTATAGTTTTTAATTTAAATTTTTTACTCACTGATGGATGGTTCAAATTTGGCTTCATTTGTTGGCCAACATGGAATCAGACGAACTTAGGCTACGATGTTCAACGTTGTTTTGGGTTTTGTTGGCTATAATTAAACTTGATTGCATAAGAACTATCTTACATCATAACCATTGTTTGTCTTCCTACTCTTAATGCTATAAAAAACTAAATATTCTTTTGGTTTTCCATGCTGTAATGATATGTATCTCAGTCATCTTAGAATGAGGTTTCTTCTATTGTGTCAGGTCCAAAGTGTATGCAATAATTGCCTTACATGTGATGACCGGCCATTGCGAACTTCTGGGATATTGTATGGTGGTCACTAGAGATTGCCATTTGTCCGAGTTTACAACTAATGAAATGTTTGTGAGCATTGTGTTTAACTGTTGGTTCCATGTTCTTTAATAGTCCTCTTCAGTTTGAATCCTTGGAAGCAATTTATTTCTCGGAGGTTTGGACGCTATTTCCTGTTTGGTTTTATAAGAGAGATAGACAGGAATCTGCGAAAATGATGTTCAGTGTACCTCTATATCAAGAATTCTTGCACTGATGAAGGAAGGATATCATGTTCTTGGTGGGTGCAGTTTTCTTTTATAAAGTTAATCTTGAATGTCTGGTTTCATATGTTTCGAATCTAACTTTTCCTTTTTATTTTTTTTTTGGATGGAGGTTGCAATGAGAATTTGGGGCTTTCTTGCTTTGGCCCGAAGGAGTAGTGGACCTCAATCAAGGTGAAAGACCTGCACCATAAAAGAAGTCTCCCCGCCATCTTGAGTGCTTAAGAATTGGTGAGTCGCACTCTGGTTTCTTTAATTTACATAATGTTTATGGTACCGAAGATTATCTTATTGCCCATGGAAGTAGATAATAGGCTGGAGGATTGAGAATATTTTTGCTAAACTGCTTGATGCAGTTTCTATAAGCACTATGAGATTAGTTCTTCCTATGCTCAATCTTATTCTTGCTTTGTTGCTACTGGGTGCTCTGTCTGTTTCAGAAGTATTCATCTGTTAAGGATTTTGGATTGGATTGGATTGAATTGCCCTGATGCCTTGCATTGTTTATTGGAAAAGATATAATCCTTTAGCTATCTAGACTGGTTACAACTCTCTTCTCCTCATAAAATGAGTCCATCTTAAATAACAAAAAAATGCCAAACTACATTATTTGAGGTCTATATAATAGACCTACCGTAGGATTGCTAGCTTTGTCAACTTCCATATTCAAAGTAGTTCACTCTTATTAATGAAAAGGCGGCCGATGCCGACTTATAAATTGGTGAAAAAGAAGTTCCCAGCTGTTGACATCTTTGGACATGGGTGGCTTCCCTGTAGCCTTTGCATGTGGGGTTTGAATTAAATATAAATTGAATATTTAATAATATTTTTATTGATTTACCTTTTCCCTTCTTTCTATATATGTGCCTAATAACTTTTTGGTCTTCAGGAGCCGCACGTCTCTCCTCTTCCAAGCTTTCCCTTTCTCCGTTGATGCTGTTAGGATAGAAAGACCAGAGAGTGATGACGGGCATGGCTACGTATTATTCATCAGGAGGACAACCTCATTTAGTTATCTACTATTTATTGTAGCTTTTATTCATCTTTGATAGTTGGTTAATGGTCATGCAATACTACGTTGATGCCTTATTTTCTGTAGGAGTATGTAATGATGCTCTATACAAAAAGCTTTGGCATGCATGTGCTGGACCTCTTGTTACCCTTCCAAGGGAAGGAGAAAGAGTGTATTATTTCCCATAAGGCCACATGGAACAACTTCAAGTTTCAATGCAAGACGAGGGTTTAGAAGATGATCAAGTGACTCAACTCGATCTTCCATCTAAGATCCTCTGTAAAGTTGTTTATGTGTGTCGCATGGTTGAACCTGAAACGGATGAAGTGTATGCTCAAATTGATTTGCTTCTAGAGCCGGATCAACCTAATGATGAGTTAACTAGCGATGATACTCTCCCACCTGAACCTCCTGCGGGATGCGAAGTCCAGTCCTTCTCCAAGATACTTACACTTTGTGAAGTTGATTCCCATGGAGGGTTATCTATTCCTCAAAAATATATAGATGCTTGTTTTCCTCCGCTGGTTAGTATCCGGAAGATTTTCATCACAATTCTTGTTACAGTATGCATAAATTATTCGGTACTTACTGTATTATTTACCAATTCTGAACCAGCATATGTCCCCAGCCCAGGAGCGACCTTGCTAGCTTTTCATTGCCAGAGATCTTCATGGCAGTGAATGGCACTTTTGTCACATTTATCGAGGTGAGTTAGTTTGGGAGTTATAAAGACTAGCTATGAACTCTGTTATGAATTGTGTTGTCTTTTAAAGATCCACGATTTCCCCAATTTTGTTGTACTCTCGAGCTCCCATTTCAGTGGATGTGCTATGAATGGGGATTATCTTAATTAGCTTCTTTTATGTGTAATACTGCCCTGGGGATTATATAAGTTATATTCATCTACTTGCTGAATTGTATGATGTTTATTTGGAAACTGGTTGTGGTGCTAATATGAAAATATTGACGATAGGTCAACCCAGGCGTCATTTGATAAGCACTGGATGGAGTGAGTTTGCTCGCTCAAAAATATTAGTGGCAGGCGATTCCTTCATCTTCTTAAGGTAATTTTATTGTTCACAATAATATTGTCTTTGATTCCACTCGGAGTTGGGTCTAACATTCTTGATTTCTTTTGATTTATATGGATTTGAAGGGGAGAAAGTGGGGAGATTCTTGTGGGGGTTAGGAGGCATATGAGACAACAGCCAAACATGCCACCTTGTATTGTATCGTCACAAAATATGCATGTGGGAATTCTTGCCACAGCTTCTCATGCGATTGCAACTGGAACTCCATTTTCTGTCTTCTACAAGCCAAGGTTCGTGCGTTTTACTTCATTAAATATAGCAACTTTGTGCAATTAATCGGCATGGTTTGCATTAGGGGTCTGGTGGGATGTATACATATGTATCGTAGTTATCATGCTCTCTTTTTTTCCCTTGGGCTTTCCTTCTCTCGTATTCCAACTTGTGTACAACCCCTTAATCCTTCCTTTTCTTCCCCTCCGTCGACTAGTTGGAGATTGGTCGAGTTGGAACTTGGAATCTTCTTCTTTCTAATCTCTTCCGCTTTCTCCCCTACCTCGACGCGTTATACAACATGTGGCCCAACTGTCTCTTTGCCTACTTGCATTTTCCTCTTGTTGAATTCATTTTCATTCTCCTAGAATTAGAAGTGAGGCGAATTAGTATTTTGTTTGCAGGACAAGTCGATTTGAGTTCATTGTAAGGGTTAATAAGTATCTTAAAGCTCGAAACCACAATCTATCCATTAGAACGAGGGTCAACATGAGATTTGATTGTGAGAAAGATCCAAAGCAAAGGTCTAATCTCGTAAGTTTGTTGGATAAAGTTTGTATTCTAATTAGTTGTACATGTAGCATGTTTTCCTTGTTAAATAAACTACAGTTTCAATGGCACTATTGTCGGTGTGGGAGAAAACTTCTCGTCACAGTGGTACAGTTCTGAATGGAGATCCTTTAAGGTAATGAGCCTTTGTTTTAGTCATTTATCATTTGACAAATTGAAGATTGTATGAGGTATCATTTTTTCGATTCTTAACCTTGGTTCTTAGTTTTAACATAACAGAATTCAAAAGCAAATCTTTTTCTCAATGTGTTGCCTGTGTTCTTAAAAGGTCAAATGGGATGAACTGGGTGCAATTTTGCTTCCAGATCGAGTGTCTTTTATGGAAGTGGAGCCAATTGTTGCAACTACTCCTTCAAATACTCGACCTACAAATTGGACCAACAAGCGGTCACGACCATCATATTTGCCTTCTTTGAATCCCGACCTTAAGGCCCTTGGTTGGTCATTTCCTTATTTTTAATTTCTCATTTATGTTTGAATTGGCTAGCTAGTGTCAATTACTTTTGCTGTTTTCACCTTAATTTGTTAGGCATTTTGAAGAAACCTATTGAACCATGTAGTCACGAGCATCTTGATTCATGTGGTTCCTTATACAATTCACTTCTTCAAAAATGTCGACTAACTCAGCTGCCTTCACTTCCATCATTTGCAGTTACTACCAAATCATCAATTTCTTGGCCTAAACAACTGAAGGGTGTAGTCGAGTCCATTTCCCCAGTCGTTAAGATAATTTCTAGTGACCGGAAACATGACTCAGAGAATGGCTTCAAGTTGTTTGGCATTCAACTTGTTAATAGCTTCAATAGGGAGGAAAGTTCTCCATGTTTAGGCTTTTCAGACTCATAAAGAAGGTTTGCCCAATTCTGTCTTTGAATACTGAGTTCTACTGTCCCTTTCAGTAAGTTCTTATCCTGAGAAATCAAGGTTTTGCCCTGGATTTGCATCGCTTGCAGGTAAGGGCCTGCACAAAGGTTCAAGGAAGTTGAGATGGTGGTAGAGTAGCATTCTCGTTCTCTCTCTTGTTGGATCAAGGATGCAAGTAACGACCACATCTTGTCCTCTCTTTGTTGGTCAAGACTTTTGTTGGGCATTTTGGGGGGTGTAACTACAATGTAGTAAATGAGTGACCTGTAATATTTTGTAATCTTGTAGTAGCCTCCATGGCATTACGCATGACAGGTTCCTACTTTTGGCATTTGTATTAATGCATATTAGAAATTGAATCATGATTATAATCACCTAGGTATTGGGCAAAAATTTGCACTTGTGTTTGTAACTTGTGGTAAATCCAATCTCTTCCGAAGTATTTTCTTTGAGAGCAAAAGAGTCTTGAAGAGAAAATTTATACTTTGGCAGCAGTTGTTTCAAGTTAAGATATGAATTGAATTCAGTCATTGATAGAAAGCCCAATAGCTCCTTCCTCAAATACACCACATGTATTCAGTTCATTTCTCCATGCAGTTGGAAACTTTTGTAGCAATTTAGTGTGCAGTTTAATGGCATAACAAGTAGTGATTATCCTTAACCATCATTTTGGTTTCGAACGAGAAAAAATTAGAATATGTGATCGAACCAAAAGTAAATAAAAATGGAGGGTTCAAATCACAAAGAAGCAAGTTTATTAGTTCGCTTTTGACCGATTCAAATGCAATTTTGATAGAAATTTCTTTCATATTTAAGATAATTTATGGGAACAACAATGAATCAAACTATATAGGGTACCATTCAATTAAATTTTGAGTGGACCTTGAACTAATCAAACAAACAATTTGAATCGAATTAAATAACCTAGATTGTAATGAATAGGGGGTGAAACAATTACAATCATTTTGATTTTTTCCATGGAAAAGAAGATATTAATTATACAAGAAGAATTTGTATCATTTTGTTTTTCAATATCATCCTTATTAATTATATAATGATACTTCGCTCGTGACATTTCTCTAAATGTCAGATAAGCAACACTTATAGATGTCACCGTTAAATGTCACAATCTATATGCTATGCTGACACTTCACTAGCGACACTTCTCTAAATGCCAGACAAGCAACTAAGCTATTGTGACATTTAGTTATGTGATTAGCTTATATCACAAATACTTCTTTATTTTGACACTTTTTAGTTGACACTTCTCTAAATGACAGAAAAACGTGTTTATTGTTGTGACAATTTAAGATGTCAACATTAAATATCACAATATATATGCTATGCTGACACTTTGCTCATGACACTTCTCTAAATGTCAGACAAGCAACTAAGCTATTGTGACGTTTGGTTATGTGACCAACTTATGTCAGCAATACTTTAATATTTTGACACTTTTTTAGTGACACTTTTCTAAATGACAGAAAAATGTGTTAATTGCCGTGACAATGGAAGATGTCAACGTTAAATGTCACAATATATATGCTATACTAACATTTCACTCGGGACATTTCTCTAAATGTCAGACAAACAACTAAACTACTGTGACATTTAGTTATGTTACCAACTAATGTCACAAATACTTCTCTATTTTGACACTCTTTTAGTGACACTTTTCTAAATGACAGAAAAACATATTTATTACTAGGACAATCGAAGATGTCAAAATTAAATGTCACAATAAATATATTATATTGACACTTACCATAAATGTCACAAAAACCTTCAAAGTGAATGGTTTTCCTAACATTTTTTTAAACTATCTTTAAAAAAAATGTTACTATAGCTGTTTTTTTTGTAGTGCATGCAATTAACCCTTTTCATATTTGACTGGATAAGTCATAGACTCCCCTTGTAGTTTGAGTTTTCGTTCTTGTTTCAGTGGTGCTCTAATATCTTTCCCTCCCTTATTCGCAGGAAATATTCTCATAGGGTTTCCACTCGGCTATCAACGCAGATCGAAGTACCAAAATGTGCTGCTATCTTGTGTGCCATTTGAGTCATTTTCAGCGTTGCAGGAAAGCCATATACTCTTAACCATACTTCCATCACAGTGAATTGATCAGTCTTTGGTTTATGGAATGCATCAGCTTTCTTAAAAATAAGCAGATTGTTGTCAAAATATCAGGGTCCTCCACACAATACCTTATCTCTGTCTTGTTTCTCAAGGAACTGGAACCCGTAGAGCTGGTCTCACTGATCCGAAATTTGAAAAGGTTGTTTTAAGTTCCATGCTTTGGTTAATGATTTGAGGTTTTGCTTTTTATCTGTCAATAATCTTCAAACTAAACCCAACAGGTTCACCGCTTTCACCATCACTGCATCGTAGTCTTGTTCCTCAACCTCCAATCCATCCAGATCATCATCAGCAAGGTTGATGTTCTGTATCTTGTTCTGCAAGGCTTCCAAGAAGGTTTTCTCCATTGCTTGCGCATGGTCCTGCTTCTGATTCTTATCTTGCGATGAGCTTGGATCTGTCTCTTGTGTTTGTACTGTAAGTCTGTAACTAATCCCATCTTTGTATCACCCTTCGTTTGTTCCCCCTCCTTATGTTTCCTGGATTGTTCCTCCGTAGGTTGTTCCTTCATAGTCTCTTCCATACTTTCCAATTTCCATCCATGATTGTTAGAAAGGTGTATATTCTCAAACAACGATTTCAAGCAAGGAACTATAGAAAATAGATCACTCCCTTACCTTAAACCGCAGGAGGCGTGATTAGGGTTTCCTCTTTCACGAGACCCCACAACTAGCAGACCTAGCTAGGGAAACTCTCTCTCCCAGCCTCGCAACGTAGAAGGCAGATGCCAGGCTTAGCAATCTCAGCTAAAACGTGGTTGTAGCATTGATCAAAACTTACTTACTTTCACTCTCGATCAATGACTTCCTCTCCCAAACTCGGTGAAAACCCTAACCAGCGGCTATTGAGACTCTCGCTAAACGAGAGAAAATCTTATTGGCTGGGTATTTCACACATGGCCATATATAATTCCACATGAGAGGAGGAAAAAGGCTCTAATTTTTCTAAATTCTAGGAAGGATGCGGACGCATCTATAAATTATTGTTAAATCGACTTTGCACGGGATTATACTGTACCAAACCTCAAGCTTTGTGTGTTTCGAAAAGTATATTGTCCTTCCGGTTTTTGCTTTTTTTTATGGGAAGAAAGAACAAATCCATGATATTGTTCGTAACTTGGACAAGGTAGATTCTACTATAATGAAAATGATGATTTGTATTTGCAAATATATTTTATCGTCGAATTTTGTGCTCAATCAAATGCTGGAAAACAAGAAAGAGATAACTGAAATGCAAAAGAGGAAGGAAGAGTAAATTGATATTGGAAATAAATGTGTCACTAATGGAAACGAAGACATCATTACTAGTGACGATGATGTTGTAGCTCGTGTCAGAGGAAATGCAAACAAGACAAAAATAAAACGGACAATAATCTCTTACGATGAGGACTAATTAGAAGTGTCATTTTAATTTTCCTTTAGGAGTTGGTTCCCATCCATGGAGTTTCTCTTTCATTTTCGTAAAAGAATTTTAGTCTATTAGTCATTAAAATGTCATAAAATAGTATGATGTTGATCCTTTTTTAATTGTTCAACTACTTTAATAATTTGGATTCCCTTATTCTATCAGGCAGAAGGAGAGAGGTGGAAACAAATAGCTCTCGGACCTAGTGGATATATTGATACTATTATTTACGTGATTGCCAATTGATTCCGGCCGACTGGCCGGGCACGTCACTAGTCTTGTTGATTCTTAGTTTGGAGATCACTCATGAGCATGCAATACCTCCTTTTAAGTTGAGTATATTCATTTTGCAGATTAGATAAGCATCCATAAAGCAATCACTAATCACTATCCTTTTTTCTGCACCTCAAAATCAGAGTCTGGAATCCAACACTAGCTAATGCGTGCTTTCACTTCATGTCATTACCTAATTAATGAAGAACGATGAAGTTAGGATAGCATATAGTTAATTGTGGTCTTTTACTCGAAGCCTAGATGATTGATCGTTCCATCTCAACTCGTGTAGCATCAATGGGGTATCTTTAGAAGGTAATTTCTTGACAATCTAGGCAATACTAAGCACAAGGCATACAACAACATACAATACAATCATAAGTATCGATGGTATTAAGAGCATTCATGATATAGAAACATCAACGGTTAATAGCTTATTTTGGCCTGAACTATGACCATAAAATCAACTTTGCCCCGTGGTTTCAGAAATTAACATCCTGGCATTAACTATGCAACATATAGACTCAATTGGCCCGACACATAGTTTGATCGTAAAATTGGATGGTCAACACAATTGACCGTTAGTCAACATGACATGTCATTGCCTCGTCAGGCTAAAAATCATTAAAAAATTCAATTTCAATTTTTTTCTAATTTTTATTATTTATCGTCAAATTAACCAAAACTAAATTATAAAAAACATAAAAAAAATTTATTTTTATTTTTTAAGTAATTTGAAATGATCAATTTTATAAATTAACTAAAAATCATCAAATTATTTATATTTTAAAATTACCCAAAAATTAAATATAATTTATATCATATTTTTTAAATTTATAAAATTTAATTTGATAATTTTTGTTTACTTTATAAAATTTATCATTTCAAATATCCATAAAAATAAATATATTTTATATTTTTATTTTATATTTTTTTAATTTAAAAATGATAAATCATAGAAATTAGGAATATAATTTGAATTTTTATAAAAATTTTTAGGCTGACGAGGCAATGACATGGTGTGTTGACTAACGGTCAACGCTGTTGACGGTCCTAATTGACGCTCAAACCATGTGTCGGGCCAATTGAGTCTATATGCTGCATAGTTGAGGCCAGGATGTTAATTTCTGAAACCACGGGTCAAAGTTGATTATATGCTCATAGTTTG